GTGATCATGAGGTGTCGAACGGATCACTGAAGACAAATGGGTGCATAAGCAAATGTGGTGAAGAAAGCTGATGGTGCCCAACTATCAAAAAGTATAGCGTCTGGGGTCTTAAAGGCTTGAAGGTATCTAGCCTTCTTATGAAGAAAATGATTCAAATAAGGAATAGAATGAAAGTCTGATAATCTTTATACAAAAGAAAATACTTTTCTTTCAAGTATTTCTTGGACTTAAAGAATACTGACTAAAAGTATGTAGTATCATTTTATTTTTTACTTGTTTAACATAATTTTGGCTATGTATATTTAAACCTCTTCTATTTATCTAATCAGTTTTATTGTTAATTAGAGGCTCTAATAACTGTTAATTTTGCCAAGTTCACTGATCTGAAAATTATACTTCTGGTTGCCACATTACACATAAGCCTTTAAAACAAGCAGTTCCGGGAACACAATTCTAGAGCCAATGCTAGGAGATGACTAACAAAATCAGGATGCGCTCAGATGTTCAAAAATTCCCTCAAAAGTTACAATTAGGGGTAGAAGAATCAGATATCTTTCCTAAGGCCTTTAGGTCAATAAAACTTCCTATGTATTAGTAAAGTTATGATTAAGTTGTTGACTTACAAATATTTAAATCCTGAAATTAATCCATTACATTAAATGCTGTTGGCGAATTCATATGCTCTGACTTATTTAGATGAAACCCATCATCCCAACGAATTCTAATTGTTCCAAACATAATTTCCATTTTTTCATAGACAAGGTGGATCTACAAGGGCCAGCCAGAAAATTGATGCCCCTTCCCCCGCAAATACCTATTTCATTTCAATTAAATATGGTGATATTTCTCTATGGATAAGGCATTGATGTCACTCCGGATGAGGGTCTCCTCATTCATCACTGACACTTTACGCAATGAAGTTTCGGACCGACGGTGGTTTTAAATGACACTCCTCACTAGGAAATGCATCGCTATGGTTCCTTTATTTAAACTCTGGAAGGTGCAATGAAGTCATAAAGGGCAGCAAGTCAAGGTAGGCACACGCCCCCTACTGGTGGCAGTTTTTCAAGAGCATGCTCCTGATGACAGCAATCTAAAAGCTATACATAGGCACCTGCCCGTCGCTCTAGGGCACTTCTAGAAACATTTGATAGTATTTGTGTGACAGAAACATCATAAACACCAAAAGAATAAGAGTAGGCAAAGCGCAATCTATTTCCATTACTGTTAGGGATCTTACTTTCAAAAGCTCACAATCTAAAATAACAAGACCACTTGGGGCAATGTAAGTGGCAGAACTAGCTACAAAGGCCAGGTTATGCTTTCCTACTTACCTCTAAAGATACCTTCAAGTCTGCAGCAGAAACGGTGTCCTCCTCCTCATCATCCGTCACCTGGTCTTGGGAACAGTAGTGAGTGCTATAGGCAGAGTGCTCATCTATTGCTTCCAGCCAATCCTGAAACATTCCAGGGATTTCAATAAAAAAATGAAGAAGCAGCTTTGTTCTGAACGGATAATATGACAATGATCTGATAGTATAGGGCTTATGTGATAAAAATAAACTCTATCCTCAAATAATAATAAAGCCACCAACAATTCAATAATGATATAGTACTCCTGTCTATAGCAGATGTTTAGATAAAAGTACTTTCCCAATAGTTTAAAATTACCATGTCTATGCTTACACAGTCATTAATGTTCATACTCCTGTGGTACAGACATTAAAGAACACAGAGAAATTTTATACTTCAACATTAAAAAGACTCAGCACTGTTGAATAAGTTACAATATAATAATGAAGCCAGACACACAATTTCACCAACTTATAATATTCAAATCATAAGAAACCAGATTTTCTTAATGCCAAAAACTGCTCTGGTGCTTTCACTATTACTTAAAAAAATACCAGTCATTTCCCAAAAGGAAATTGAAACTGTCTAATGTAAATGTAGATGTTTTACTTCTTCCTCATTTTCTTAAAGTATTACTCACGGTCAAATCTTACCAATTCATGAAATGTTGAGAGAGTAAGGAGCATGAATCCCACTGTTTGAGGGCCAACGTTAGCCACTGTGAGATGTACACGTTTAAAATCCCTGGCGGTATGGGCTGGGATCCGCATGGTCAGCAGTTCGAAACCACCAGCAACACCATGGGACAAAAGCTGGGCTTTCTAATGTAGAACAGAGTTACACATTCTGGGGAAGCCAGCAGGGGTCACTGTGAGGGGGCACTGACTCCATGACAGTGACAATTGGCTACACATAAGGACACTTGAGAGGAAGAGGAAGGAGCAGACCTGAGCGAGGGCTGTTTGAGTGTACATCAGGAAGCCACGGGCTGCCCTCACCTTGGCAGCACCTAACAACAACACATACATGCATATGTGTGTGCACACATATACATACATGTATAGCATGTATATACACGCATGCATTTATACACACATACATATATACACACCTGTATGTGTGTGTGTATGCCTATGGAACTGCTTTGACTTAAAGGAATATGGATTCTCCATCAAATGATTGTAACATGACTTTCTGTTGAGTGAATCCCAATTTTCTTGCTAACTGTTATTATTCAAGGTACCTTCAATGGAAGGCAGAGTTTATACTGTAACAAGTTTAGACCAACTGGGCCCTGCACTGTGAAGCTTGATGCCTCTGGTAAAATCACTTCAGTCTGAGAGTCTTCAGTTTCCTTGCCAAGGAACTGAAGGACAGACTTAATTATTTTGCCATTTCCAAACAACAATTGGGCATTTTCCCACATCAATAACTACCTCTTACTATCAAAGAATCAAAATAAAATATTATGAGCAGAAAATACCTGTAGGTACATGTTAATAAATAGATAATTCATAAGCCAAAGTTTAAAAGCCTCATATAATTGCCCTATTAAAAAGATATGATTGCAAGACTTCAGATGATATTATTAAAACTGTCTCAAAATTTTTTCCTAAATTTTGTGAAAGATAAGTAAATCCATAAAATTACCTTTCGTGACTGTTGAAGGCTATTTTTAGGAACCCTGAAGCCATGGATAGTGTCATCAAAGCATTTAATAAAGAAGAGGCAGCTATCAGTGGATTTTACCTTTGACACAGAGAAATCAGTAAGATAATAACATCACTCACAAAACAGACCCCTAAAATAGCTACACATAAAGCTAAATGTGTTAACAGTGATACACAATTAGACTACTTTTAAACATCCAGAAAAATTGGAGAATAACTTACAGTGGGAATATCAAACATACACTAAATGTATTGTAAATTATCTGTGTCTAATGTTTTTCACATTCTTAATAACCCAAAGCAAATATTGATTGTCCATTGGTTATGGAGTTTGGGTTTCATACTTTCTATTAAGTATAAATTATTACACACTTCAGCTATAAAGTTCTCCAAACCCACAGCTCTAATTTCTTATTCACACCAATATCTTGAAGTGCTCATTGTATCTCTACTTTAAGTAGAGAAAATGCAGGAATTAATGTAGAAACCTGTGTAGAAGTAGGTAAGGTTGATAAAGAAGGGCAAAAGTAAAGGAAAATAAGAAAATTCACATATAACTGTCATTTTGAAATAGGAATTCGGAAGGAAAGAGACCTTGAGAATGTTAATGAGTGGCCTTCTGTTTTAAGACCCTAGTAGGGGACTCCTTGTGGAAAACAGCTATGCACGCAGCACACAACACAAAAAAGAACCACTAGACAGAACTGGAGCGTGACTAAAAGTCGACAGACTGGTGGGCATTGGAGGAGAGGGGACCACTCCACCCTCTTAATAGAAAAGAACAATGAAGAGCTATACAAGTTCCCTTACCCACAGCAGCATCAAGTGCACACTTGTGTCCTTGGGAATCTAGGAAACAATGAACACTGAGGAGTGGAAAGAAACCCGGTGCGAAAGAGCCAGAGGGGATCCCAAACTCTGCTTACCCCTGTATATCTAGCTGACTCAAGAATTACACATGTACAGAAGACAATGAAGCTCATATAAACACAACATGTCTGAACTAGTCAGACCAGAGCTGAGCTCCAAGAAACAGAATTTTTAACAAAAATGCAGGCCAGAAAATGACTTGCTAAAATGAAGGAAACAACATATTTCAAAGAAAAAAATTGCAGACGCTCTAGAAATTAGTATCCATAACACTCAGGATGTAATCCCAAATCACCCGACATACAGAGATGTATCAAAGTGCAGGACACTCTCAAGAGGAAAAAAAATCTAAAAGCCCCAAATGGTTAGAATAAAAGAATCGAATGGCATGCTGTCTATGAGAGACAGATAATAAGGGTAAAGATGCAGACAGGCCAAAAGAAAACAACAAAAAAGCTTTGAAAACAAAATAAAGACACTCCCAAATAAATGAGCCTTAGAGAATTTGTTGCCAGTGGGTACAGCTTACAAGAAAGAATAACAAACAAACAAAAATAATCCACTGCTCTTGAATGTATTCTGACTCACAATGACCCTATCGGACAGAGTAGAACTGCTTCCTAGAACTCACAAGGCTGCAAGTCCTTAACGAAACAGACAGGTTTCTCTATATTGTAGACTTTGAGGTTAGCAGCCCAATGCTCAACCCACTGTGCCACCAGAACGCCTTAGAAAGAGTAAAGGTGTTTTTTAGGCTAAAAGAAGTGCTATAGATAAGAAATAAAGAGAATTGGTGAAGACAATAAAACAGGTTATCAAAATATTTTTTTAACTTCCTTCTCTTAATTGATTTAGAAATAATTACAGAACACAATAATAATAAAATTATATAGGTGGGGTTAAAACATATAAAGATGCAATATACATGACAATAAAAGTACTAGGGAGTAGAGAAAGGATATTATAGTATAGTAATAAAATAACTCGAGATGGTTGCCTGAATCCACAGGGCAAAGTAAGGAGAACTGGAAATGCTGAACATGTGAGCTAAATTAATAGACTATACAAATATATCTCCCCTCACACTGTCCCTCTTTAAAAACACATGAAATTAACATGCATTTACACATGTAAATGAATGTTTACAGCACCATTATTCACAATAGTCTATATCTACCAACTGATGAATGGATAAGCAAAACATGGCATATCAAAGCAATCGATTACTAATTGGCCATAAGAAGGAATGAAGTACTGATACATGATGCTACAATAAAGATGAACCTTGGAAACAATTTATTAAGTGAAAAGAGATAATCAGAAAAGACCATACATATATTGCATGACTCTATTTATGTGAAACATGCAGACTTGGCAATCTAAACAAAATGCGCATGATTATTGAATATAAAACTGATGGTCTGTTCTGTAAACCTTCCCCCAACTCACAAGAAACCTTTAAAAAGAAAGCGAACAAGTGGTCACGTAGGCAGGGCGAAGGGGGGTAACTTGGAATAAAACATAACTATTCATGGGCAGGTGGTTTATTTTTTGGAGTGATGTAAACTGATTGTTGTGATGGGTACACAACTCTGAGCTTTGAGACTACACCAAAAAACACTGAATTATATAAATACACATTAAATGTGAGGATTGTACAGCACGTAAATCACATGTCAAGAAAGTTGTTAAAATACACAGAATATTACATAAAGAAGTAAAAACAAGAGTGCATGGTTGGATTTTTGAATTCATATAGTCAAGATATATATAAAACAATAATTGTGCAAAGGAAGAGGTAGTTTCTTTTTTCTCCTAGGCATTGTTTCTTATAGTGTCCATATTTTATAGACTTAAACTAGTATTAATCAGAAGCAATTGATCTAAATTAAGGTAGTTATACTATGTAGAGCACCCACTAAGACGACAACTAAAAAGTATGACAAAATAATTAACATTAGAATTCATACCTACTGAATGCTAAAGACGGAAGACAATGAAAAAGAATGAACAGAAACAAATGGCAGTTGGAAATCCAGCCATATCAATAACATGTTACATGTCAAAGTAAATATAAATCAAACAAGCCAATAACAAGGCAAAGATCATGAGAATGGATAAAACTGGAAAATGTAGTTCTAGGCTATCTACAAGAGATGCTTTAGCTTCAAAGGCACAAAGGTTCAAAGTAAAAAGAAAAATATATATATTATGCAAGCAGTAATCAAATAAGAGTTCGAATGGGACTTTATGGGGAAAAATGTTATTAGGAACAAACTACCAAACTCTACACCATCGAGTTGATTCCAACTCATAGTGACCCTGTAAGTCAGAGGAAACTCGCCCCTCTGAGTGCCGAGACTTTACTCTTCACTGTGAGTAGAAAACCGCATATTTCTCCTGCAGAGAGGTTGTAGTTTTGAATTTCTTAGCAGCCCACATGTAACCACGCTGGCACCAGAGCTCCTGAGAAACAGAGCAGCTAGACATAAAATCAGAGAAGATGAACAGACCACCGCCACCCAACACCACAACGCATGGTCTTCTCAAGCACACATGGAACATTCCCCAGGACAGACGGAAAGGAAGGCCAGAAAACAATTATCAGCAACTGTAAAGAACTGAAACCATACAGAGCATGTTCTCCAACCAAAATGAAATTAGAAATCAACAACAGAAGGAAATGGGACAGACCTACAAATATTTGAAAATGAAACAACACCTCTTTGAATCCACAAGTCTGAGAAGAAATCAAAAGAGTAATTAGAAAATCTACCAGGCTGAAAGAAAAAGGAAAAAAACCCAATGTACAAAATCTATGTGATGTAGTGCTGTAAGCAAAATAATTAGCAATAAGGACCTACCTTTGGGGGAAGAAAAAGATCTCAAGTCAATAACCTAAACTTCCATCATAAACAAATGAGGAAATGAGCAGTCCCTGCATTTCAGCAGTCACTCAATGAATGCCTGTTAGCTTCTATTGATATGGGATTCCTAAGTGGAGGCTTCAAGCAGACAATTAAATAGGGATCTATAAGTTGCAAAACAAGGTCAAGCAGAACACAACAGGAACTAATCAACTCTAGAGAAACTGAAGGCCAAGAAAACTTTTAAAACAAGGAGGTGAATGGACATGTTTATTTATTTATAATATTCTAGCTAATCGTATCTTCCTTTTTTTTTTCAAAACCATTTTAGTGGGAGCTAAATACAAATATCATATTATCCCACAGTTTAGTGGGAGCTAATACAGATATCATATCATCTCACAGTTGAATCACAACAGGCAAAGTATTATACAATTGCCTTTGTTTTAAGGGAAATATGAGTGAAATAAACCTTTCAACTGAGGGTTTTAAACACAGAGGGTTTTACTTGACAATAACAGCCCAAAGGATGAAGAGGAAATGGTCTTTAGTAGATGAATGAAGAGCAGGAATAAGAGAACAAGCAAGGCTGCATCCAGCAGAAGTGACTAGAAGATTAGTTATATTAGAGGCAGATTCCTGGGCTTTCCAGACGAATCTTAAAGAAGGAAGAGGTGCAGGTATAGTGAAGAGGCCATGCACTTGTGTAATTCGGTGGTACTGCTGGGCATCTGACAAGCCTGTGACTCCCCAAGGCCAAAAAGGCTTGTCCCTGGAGTCTTCACACTGATAAAAGCAGGTCTACTCCAAAGAGTAGCTAAGCTGTGATGTTGTGCTGACATCGTAAAGGATTTGAACCAAGAACCAAGAACGGATGTCTAGGCCCCAGTCTTAGACCAATTTCTATAGACAAAAAACGCACTCATTCTTCTGGCCTACCGAATACAGAGAACCTAAGGATCCTGGCGCTGTCACAGTTTCAAATTTTACTCTAACCTCAGCAAAGAATGACTCATGTCCAAATACACTTATCTGTGAATATGTATCTATACACAAAAACATACACACACACTTAAAAATTATTGAAAACCTCTAGATAAATATTTGGGGATCATCCAACTCTCATTCTGTAATATGTGGAGCTAATAAAAAAAACTGACTGATTTTAAATTCTCTCCAAATTCTATAACATCATTTATTCTTGATTCTGGACATCAAACACAGAAGAGTGGTGGGTGGGTGGGTGGGTGGGTGGATGTGTGTGTGTGTGTGTGTGTGTGTGTATTCCCACAGGACTTTGAGATATCATAAAGCTTCCACAGATGATTTCAGGACATCAAACACAGAAGAGTGGTGTGTGTGTGTGTGTGTGTGTGTGTGTGTGTGTGTGTCTGTGTGTGTCTGTGTGTGTATTCCCACAGGACTTTGAGATATCATAAAGCTTCCACAGATGATTTCAGGCAACAACTTGCAGAATGGATCTCAGAGGTGGAGCAGCCTACCGTGCACACTGCTTGAGTCAGGTGTTTGCATCCCTGGCGATAAATGTGATGCACAGCATCAGGCCTTCAAAACAAACATTAAATTATCACACCAAAGGGAAAACTGGTAGGTGAAAAACTAATCTTTCAAAAGTCAGATACGAAAATGTCCTGATTATGAGGATAACACTTACTGTTTCCTATACCACGAAAGGACTCCGTGTTCCAACACTACCCAGAATAATCTCCAGCCAAAAAATCGCGAGCTCTAATGGACAAATGACAAAGTGACACATCGACGTTCAAATAGTTGACTGATAAAAAGTAATTTAGTGATGACAGTTCTATCTGAGGCTTTCATCTGGACAGCACTGCTGAACATCAAAAAAAAATCACGCACAAGCTTATATACTAGCTGAAGTAATGAAAACTTATCACTGGAGGGTGACAGGGAAAGAAGAAAAACCATCCTGATAAGCCCAGTGATGAATACCGTTTATTAGCCCAAGAATCTTGTTAGGGATATTTATAGGAAATGGACTGTTTGTGGCCTTCAAATACAATTTCCTCAAAGTTAGGAAAGAACTTAAAAAAAGAAAAAAAAGTCATTATAAAATGCGCATGCATATACATATAAATGTAGAGAGATAATGCTTGTCATTACAAAATAACTGAACTATAAATTCTAGAAAATAACTCAACAACAAAACCCACAGACACACTTAAAACCAGAAGGATTTCATATGTGCGTTTCCACGCACTCTGTAACCATTCAAATATTAATTTGGCCATAGGTCCTAGGGACATTAGTACTATAAAAACCCATCAAGCTGCTTCTCACTCCTGGCAACCCCATGAGTTAAAAAGCAGAACTTGCCCTGTAGGTATTTCTTGGCTATGATCTTTGCAGAAGCAATTGGCCGGGGCTTACAATGAGCTGGTAGCAACTCGATGCCAGTGGGTTTGGTTTTTCTTTTCTTTTAAACTCTTACAAAGTCACTGGGTGGGTTTGAACTTGTGTCAACCAAGTTCAATGTTCACAGCAAAACTAACACGACTGTCGTTTTATGATTCATTGAGATAAAAATGTATTTTGTCCCCACTCTGGGCAATGCAAACCAGGTCATTTAAAAGTATTTCAATATCAACAAAAAATAACCAATAGTAGCCTAATGTGGTTTAACATTATAAAAATGGTTGGTTACACAGGGGGCTTTAAACAGTTTGTGGAAAAATGGAATAGAAAAATAATGCAATTTTTCTATATGAACCTTTTAAAGACCTTTCATATGATAAGATCCAAGAATGATTACATCACATATTGTCTAGATATGATTGCAGAAAAAAAAGTCTTAAAAAAACTAAGCATCTGAGAATTATTCTTTCCAATTTTACAAAGAAAATAAGCAAAAATCCAACCCACCTTCCAAAGAGGGCCTTCATATCGTTTCAATGTTTTGTACATGACCTATTAAGGAAAATGTCAAGATCATGAAAGAGGCCAGGCTTACTGGTCAACAGAGACTAGTGGAACCCCTAAGCCTATGGCCCTTCATCACCCTACAGATCTGGAACTGAACTCCACTCCCAGGTGGGCCTATTCAATCACGTATGATCAAAAAGGCAGCATTGACCCAAGGACAAAGTATCAAGGGCGAGGAAAGAAGGAGGAATGGAAACTACAAACAGGGAGAAAGCGATGGCACAATAAAGGGATTGCAACAGATGAGTTAAAGAAAATATCTATCATGTGTTGAATGCTCCGTAAAGCATCTGATCTCTGTAAACTTTCACCTAATTTACAATAAAAAATTACAAATGTTTTCACTCAACACACTTCCAACCATTTCAAATATCCAAACGTTTTCTAAAAATTCTTACATCAATTTAAGTATATCACTACATACCTTATTGCCCAGAAGGATATGTTTGATTTCAGCTCCCTGGGCAAGGTCAAGAGGTTTCTGATCTGTGTACAAGAAAAAGAAAAATGCCGTCAAGAACTGAAGCTGCAATCTCAGGACAGAACAGCCTTCCATCAATCCGTCAACTACATCGTTTTCTTCTCTTCCCAAATTACCTACCTGAAGTTTATCATCTCAGTTCTTTCTGGCCTCCTTCCTGGCAGCTAAGAACACAGTACAGTTTCTATGATTGCTCAAGCTTTCTTCCTTAAGCCTCTATGTATTTCTTGCAGCTACTGTAACCACAAACTAAGTAGTTGAAAACTACATAAACTTGATCAGCCCAAAATCCGTTTCGCTGAGCTAAATTAAGGTGCCTGCAACCTAAGCTCCAGCATTCTAGAAGCTCCAAGGGAGACTCCATTCCCTCACTTTTTCCAGCTTCTAGAAGCTGTCTCCATTCCTTGACTCTCTTCTTCGATGCTCAAAGCACATAATTTTTAACTGTTTCCATCCTCTCTCTCTATTTTGATCCTCCTGCCTTTATAAGGATCTTTGTGATTACATTGGGCTCACTGGGTAGTTTATTATACTCTCCTCATCTCCAGATCCTGAATACAATCACATCTTTGGAGGTCCTTATTCAGCCTACCAAGGAGCCCTGGTGATACAGTGGTGAAGTGTCTGGCTGCTAACCAAATGATGAGTGGCTCGTTCCCAGCAGCTGCTCCACAGACGAAAAGACCCAGCAATCGGCTCCTGCAATGACCTGTGGCGGGTTCTATCAAGTCACAGCTGACTCAAAGCGCCCCTGTCCGGTGGAAGGAGAAATATCCACTGGGTTTCCTAGACTGTAATCTCTTACATGAACAAAAGGCCAGATCTTACTCCCGTGGAGTAGCTGGTGGATTTGAACTGTTGACCTTGCAGTTAGTAGCCAAGTACCTGGTAGTTTGAACTGCTGACCCTATGGTTAGCAGACAAATGCCTAGCCATTGAGACACCAGGGTTCATTTGGTAGAGCCTAGGAAACCAATGAGGCAGTTCTACTCTGTCATACAGAATTGCTAAGCGTTGGACTCAACTGGTCAGCCTGATAAAACAACCATGTTCAGACTACCACCACTTTTCAGCTACCTTATAAGGAAAGAGGTAGCTAGAGAGCTCACAAACCAAGGGCATGATGGTCCACACTGGGAGCCAAAAGGAAAATGAAAGAGTGGAGAAGGCAGCTAGGAGAGCACTTATGGTAGCCTTTCTTAACCTTACAAATGCAAGTCGTTTGTCCACGTGACAGTCAACAACAAAAGGCCAGAATTTGCTTATCCAAGCTACTGAATAAGGTCTGGAGTGAGTAGCAAAACACAACATGAAGGAAGCAAGCAAGCTTTTAAAACAAAAAGAAAATACTTTCTTAACCTCCAATAGCTTCCATTGGCTAAAGACAATAAAGTACACATTAAAAAAACTATGTTCAGGATAACAAATCAAACTGAAACTCTACAGTAAAGCAAATATATTTAATTAAATAGCCTTCTTATAAATATCCAACACTTGCCTACGTAGCACAATGGGTTAGGCAATAGGCTGCTAACTGCAAGGTGGGAGGCTCACATCCACCAGCCTTTCCCTGGGCCGTGGGAGACAGATGAGGCTGGCCACTCCCGTGAAGATGCCCAGCCTCAGAAGCTTCAGACTGTGGGTCAGAATCCACTCCATGGCCGTGGATCTGCTCTTGGTTTTGCTGTGTACAAGGCAAGACGTTTGACAACGTTCTCATGAGAATCTATGTTATGTGCCAATTGCTCTTTTCAACATTGGTATTGAGATTTTTTTTTTTTAATGGGAGAGGGAGGATAGGCATAGAAAAGAGGAGAGAACAATAAATGAGTTTTTAAAACTATACTCAGATAATCAGCACTATTCAGAAACGTTTAAATGCATGATTATGATAGAAAATGGCTGGGAGACCAGTTGTTCTTAGAGGTTGGGAGGTTGATCTGGGAAGGGCTCTCTGAGGAGCAGACGTGAAGTGAGAAGAAGTACGCAGCCCTGTGAAAAGACGAGGGCTTGAGCACTGTGGCGGTGGGAGTCAGATGGCTTTATGCCAGATGGATTTAAGACACCCTGGCCAGGGGTGGGGTCAATCCTGTCAATCAGGTCAGAGCCTGATGCTGTGTCCTTGGCAGTGCGGCCGCCTCATAAAGAGGACTCTGGGGCCCACCCTCTGTCTCTCCTCCCTGCTTGTGACCACCCTAGGAGCTGCTGGAACCCTGCCGTGTTCCCATGGACCTTGGATCCACACGACCCTGCGCCCAGGGGCCTGTGATCTTCCTGCATTACACAGCATTGCACTCATGGGGCTTAATGGGTTTGAAGACTTGTGGACTAGTAGTAGACTTATGGATTTGAGTTGGACTGGGTTAGGACGCTTTCTTGATATATAAATATTTCTTGAAATAAAACCCTTTCTTATACATAGATGAGTTTCTCTAGATTTGTTACTCTGGTCAACCCAGCCTAACACACCAGCAGAGAGAAAAAAGAGCTGAGAAAGGAATGATTTCCTGCATAGGAGATAAAGTTAGTGCAATAGAGGCCACATCGTATAAGGGCTCGGTGGGTGAAACCCTTGTGAGAGAGTTTAAGCTTGGTTTTATTCTAAACTTGGTGAAAAAGCCTAAGCAGCAGAATAATGTAATATGGCTTCTATAGAATAATGTAATAATGGTAAAATTGTGAAAATATGAAAAAAAACACAATTAGGGAAATGTGAACTTTGTCTATTGGTTACTTAATGAGTTACCAAAATATTTTTATAAGGCAATACTATTGTGATGGTCTTTTTAACAGCGTTATTGTGATATACGGAGACTTAAAATGTTCACAGGAAAATGGGAATAAGAGATAATGACATTTTTATATAAACTTTAAAAGTCCCTGTGTATAATTTATATGTCATACAGTTCACCCACTTCAAGCATACAATTCAACAACTTTTAATATATTCACTGAGTGGTGTAATGATTATGTGGTTTGTTTTATTGAAGGGAGAATTTATCCTTCATCAATATATTGGAATATTTACAAATAATGTGGCAGATGGCTGGAAAGGGTGGGAGAAATGAAACAAGACTGGTCATTATTGATAATTCCTGAAGCATGGTGATTAAATGATGAACATTTAATTATACTATCTTATTTTTTAAGCGTTTGTCATTTTCAATATAGTTTTAAGAAGCTCCAAAGGCACAGACATTAAGTGTTGAGCTGCTTAGAGGATGGAACTCACCACTCTGGTTGTAGGTTGGAATTCACTCAGTTGCTCCTGGAGGAAAACCTGCTGAATCTGTTTCTATAGAGACTCTCACCTCACTGTCAGCAAGTCGATTCCAACTCATACTGACCCTGTAAGACAGAGCAGAGCTGTCCCTGTGGGCTTCCAAGGCCATACATCTCTGCAGAAGCAGAAAGCCTGATTGAGCTTTCTCAGGAGTGGCTGGTGAGCTTCAATTGCTGGCCTTTCAGTTCCCAACACAATGCATAAGCCATTATGCCACCATGATTCTTTCGAAACCTTACGATGGAAGTTCTACTCTGTCCCATGAGGTCACCATGAGTCAGAACGCACTCACAGTGGCAACCAATAACAATCGTTTTGTTTTTATTTAAGAATACTATGATAATGGTTTCCCATCCATACCATCAAATCAATTTCAATTTCAATTTCAAATGGAAGTGATCAGAGGAGGGCCTCTGAGGCTGTAAATCTTCGCCGGATCTGGCTAGCCCCATCGTTCCCCTGCGGATCAGCTGGTGGATTTGAGCTGATAACTTTATGGTTAAAAGTCCAACTGGTACCAAACACTGCCACCAGGGCTCCTTGACTATTGTCTAGATAATGGCTTGAAATGTTTCCAAGAGAAAAGCAAGGAGGCTCATTAAAGAGCAATAGCAATGATCCAGGAGAAAGATAGAGGCAATGTGGGCGAGAGAGTTAGTAGCTCAGGAGGAATACTTGTAAAGACAGGAAGAAGCACATGGCTTTGAGATTTTTGAGGAAGACTTGTAGGGATGCAGAGGGATGAAACTGGGGCAATCGTATATTACTTTGATAGTGGGGAAAACTTTTTAAAATGTTAACTGAGAAATTACCGCATATACTCGTGTATAAGCCAAGTTTTTCAGCACATTTTTAATGCACTTTTTGTGGTAAAATTAGGTGCCTTGGCTGATATTCGGATCGGCTTATACTTGAGTATGCACGGTAATAATGAGTTTCACTTTTCCCAGCCAGCACAGAGGAAGGTATCTTATAAAGGTCTGCCAACTCTGTTATTTTCATTCAAACTACAGGGTGCTTTTGAGAGATGATTCCTCTAGGCCAAGTGGAAGAAGACAATGTGATTTCTTTCATAGAAATCTGCCCTCATGCCAAAAATAAATCCTGAACTCCTGCCAACTAGATGAAATTCCAGTCCAATGCCCTCATTTCTGGACTCAATGCCCAAAGTGCTTGACACACAGCAAGAATTTAAAAAAAATCCTTTTTTACTGAATGAAATAGCCAGACTCCCTCCTGTATGGGTGCCCTAGGCAGTCATTTCAAAAACTGACTGCAACTCCTCTCAACAACGAAATAAAATTAAAAATGATTTAATATTTAAAATTTTGTATGATACCAGATTGTCCCTTCAGTGGGAAAAACAGTATTGTGAAGATGCCAATTCTAAAATCAACCCACATGGAACATTAACTGCAATGAAATCTCAACAGTATTGTAACACGGAAACTCAGAAAATAAATTGAATCTTATCTGGAAGAATATACGGGTAAGACGGTCAACGAAAATCCTTTACAAAGTAGATAGAAAGGGGAACCTTTACCCAGTACTCCAAAACCAAACAAACTCACTGCCATCGAGATCAATGCTGACTCACAGTGACCCCGTGGGGGTCTCCACAACTGTAACTGTTTACAGTAGCAGAAAGCCCGGTCACTCTCCTGCAGGCTGCTGGTGGTTTTGTACTGCCCACCAGTTTTAGAACATTACAAAAACCAATGA